AAGCTATTAAATTCGAAAAAACTCAAAATTCGATTGTCTGCCTAATTGGCGGATGGAGTATTTTGACTAGGAATTTTGCCAAAATTACTTTACAAAAGTAATTTCTTGTAAATAACATCTAATGAACAATAGGCAACAAAAAAATCAATTGTTTATTAACAATTTAATTTTTAAAGCTATTAAATTCGAAAAACTCAAAAATTCGATTGTCTGCTAATTGGCGGATGGAGTATTTTGACTAGGAATTTTGCCAAAATTACTTTACAAAAGTAATTTCTTGTAAATAAACATCTAATGAACAATAGGCAACAAAAAAATCAATTGTTTATTAACAATTTAATTTTTAAAGCTATTAAATTCGAAAAACTCAAAAATTCGATTGTCTGCTAATTGGCGGATGGAGTATTTTGACTAGGAATTTGCCAAAATTACTTTACAAAAGTAATTTCTTGTAAATAAACATCTAATGAACAATAGGCAACAAAAAAATCAATTGTTTATTAACAATTTAATTTTTAAAGCTATTAAATTCGAAAAACTCAAAAATTCGATTGTCTGCTAATTGGCGGATGGAGTATTTTGACTAGGAATTTTGCCAAAATTACTTTACAAAAGTAATTTCTTGTAAATAAACATCTAATGAACAATAGGCAACAAAAAAATCAATTGTTTATTAACAATTTAATTTTTAAAGCTATTAAATTCGAAAAACTCAAAAATTCGATTGTCTGCTAATTGGCGGATGGAGTATTTTGACTAGGAATTTTGCCAAAATTACTTTACAAAAGTAATTTCTTGTAAATAAACATCTAATGAACAATAGGCAACAAAAAAATCAATTGTTTATTAACAATTTAATTTTTAAAGCTATTAAATTCGAAAAACTCAAAAATTCGATTGTCTGCTAATTGGCGGATGGAGTATTTTGACTAGGAATTTTGCCAAAATTACTTTACAAAAGTAATTTCTTGTAAATAAACATCTAATGAACAATAGGCAACAAAAAAATCAATTGTTTATTAACAATTTAATTTTTAAAGCTATTAAATTCGAAAAACTCAAAAATTCGATTGTCTGCTAATTGGCGGATGGAGTATTTTGACTAGGAATTTTGCCAAAATTACTTTACAAAAGTAATTTCTTGTAAATAAACATCTAATGAACAATAGGCAACAAAAAAATCAATTGTTTATTAACAATTTAATTTTTAAAGCTATTAAATTCGAAAAACTCAAAAATTCGATTGTCTGCTAATTGGCGGATGGAGTATTTTGACTAGGAATTTTGCCAAAATTACTTTACAAAAGTAATTTCTTGTAAATAAACATCTAATGAACAATAGGCAACAAAAAAAATCAATTGTTTATTAACAATTTAATTTTTAAAGCTATTAAATTCGAAAAACTCAAAAATTCGATTGTCTGCTAATTGGCGGATGGAGTATTTTGACTAGGAATTTTGCCAAAATTACTTTACAAAAGTAATTTCTTGTAAATAAACATCTAATGAACAATAGGCAACAAAAAATCAATTGTTTATTAACAATTTAATTTTTAAGCTATTAAATTCGAAAAACTCAAAAATTCGATTGTCTGCTAATTGGCGGATGGAGTATTTTGACTAGGAATTTTGCCAAAATTACTTTACAAAAGTAATTTCTTGTAAATAAACATCTAATGAACAATAGGCAACAAAAAAATCAATTGTTTATTAACAATTTAATTTTTAAAGCTATTAAATTCGAAAAACTCAAAAATTCGATTGTCTGCTAATTGGCGGATGGAGTATTTTGACTAGGAATTTTGCCAAAATTACTTTACAAAAGTAATTTCTTGTAAATAAACATCTAATGAACAATAGGCAACAAAAAAATCAATTGTTTATTAACAATTTAATTTTTTAAAGCTATTAAATTCGAAAAACTCAAAAATTCGATTGTCTGCTAATTGGCGGATGGAGTATTTTGACTAGGAATTTTGCCAAAATTACTTTACAAAAGTAATTTCTTGTAAATAAACATCTAATGAACAATAGGCAACAAAAAAATCAATTGTTTATTAACAATTTAATTTTTAAAGCTATTAATTCGAAAAACTCAAAAATTCGATTGTCTGCTAATTGGCGGATGGAGTATTTTGACTAGGAATTTTGCCAAAATTACTTTACAAAAGTAATTTCTTGTAAATAAACATCTAATGAACAATAGGCAACAAAAAAATCAATTGTTTATTAACAATTTAATTTTTAAAGCTATTAAATTCGAAAAACTCAAAAATTCGATTGTCTGCTAATTGGCGGATGGAGTATTTTGACTAGGAATTTTGCCAAAATTACTTTACAAAAGTAATTTCTTGTAATAAACATCTAATGAACAATAGGCACAAAAAAAATCAATTGTTTATTAACAATTTAATTTTTAAAGCTATTAAATTCGAAAAACTCAAAAATTCGATTGTCTGCTAATTGGCGGATGGAGTATTTGACTAGGAATTTTGCCAAAATTACTTTACAAAAGTAATTTCTTGTAAATAAACATCTAATGAACAATAGGCAACAAAAAAATCAATTGTTTATTATCAATTTAATTTTTAAAGCTATTAAATTCGAAAAACTCAAAAATTCGATTGTCTGCTAATTGGCGGATGGAGTATTTTGACTAGGAATTTTGCCAAAATTACTTTACAAAAGTAATTTCTTGTAAATAAACATCTAATGAACAATAGGCAACAAAAAAAATCAATTGTTTATTAACAATTTAATTTTTAAAGCTATTAAATTCGAAAAACTCAAAAATTCGATTGTCTGCTAATTGGGATGGAGTATTGACTAGGAATTTTGCCAAAATTACTTTACAAAAGTAATTTCTTGTAAATAAACATCTAATGAACAATAGGCAACAAAAAATCAATTGTTTATTAACAATTTAATTTTTAAAGCTATTAAATTCGAAAAACTCAAAATTCGATTGTCTGCTAATTGGGCGGATGGAGTATTTTGACTAGGAATTTGCCAAAATTACTTTACAAAAGTAATTTCTTGTAAATAATATCTAATGAACAATAGGCAACAAAAAAAATCAATTGTTTATTAACAATTTAATTTTTAAAAGCTATTATAATTCGAAAAACTCAAAAATTCGATTGTCTGCTAATTGGCGGATGGAGTATTTTGACTAGGAATTTTGCCCAAAATTACTTTACAAAGTAATTTCTTGTAAATAAACATCTAATGAACAATAGGCAACAAAAAATCAATTGTTTATTAACAATTTAATTTTTAAAGGCTATTAAATTCGAAAACTCAAAAATTCGATTGTCTGCTAATTGGCGGATGGAGTATTTTGACTAGGAATTTTGCCAAAATTACTTTACAAAAGTATTTCCTTGTAAATAAACATCTAATGAACAATAGGCAACAATACTGGACAAAATTTCAATTACTTGCAAAAATTTTCCTCAATTTAATTATTTTCAATATTTACTATTTTAATAAAATTTTCCAAAAGAATTGAATTATTTTAAAAAAAGGTTTAATCCACATTTACACGTTGATTCAATTATTTTCTAAAACAATACAAAATTCTTACGAATTCAATTCTTTACAATTTTTTTTATAAATTTCTTTGCAATAATTCAATTATTTTCATAAATAATGAATTTTTTACAAGGATTTAATTATTTTTGAAAATTTTATTAAAATTCGTCGAAAAAATAAAAGAAAAAAGTCAGGGAAAAAGAAAATTAAAAAAGTAGTGTAAATTTTTTTTTTCTTTTCTTACTATATTCCTTTTTAAGGACAAGAAGAGATTCATTCATTTTAAGGATTCATTGAAAGAAAAGAAATTGCAAAGAATTTTTTAATACTATAATAATAATCTTTAATAATCTCATTATTATTATATACATTCGTATATAAATGATGAATGCAAATGAACATTAAATATAAATTTCGAAAAAGATTAGTGATGTAATTAAGTGCAAGGAGATTTGAGAAACTGCCTCGCGATCTCTCACGGCGCTCAGTCATCATATATAGCTGACATAAGAGAGTGAGTCAACGCAAATTCTTAATTGCGGAAATGAACCTCTCATCATCTCACTTCTCGCCTCTTATTCATTTTGAAAGAAAACTGACACTAGAGAGGATTAAATTATTATTTTATTACCATGATTATAATATATATAAATATTAGGGAATGCCTCTTGCCATCCAAACTTATCGCAATTGAATTATATAATTTCCTACGAGAATAAAATTTATAGTGATCATAAATATTTTACTCAAATGTTCTATTTCTGTTTTTCAATTAAAAAATTTTCAAATTTTTTAAAAGTATTGTTTTTTAAAAAAATTTTGAAATTCTCGTTTTTAAATTAATTACCTAATTTAATTTCGAAAACTAGGTTCAGATTCGTAATCAGCGAACCAAAAAAAAATTTCAGTCAAAAATTAGCAAATTTTTAAAAGTTGTGTCCGCCATTTTGGATCCTCCATTTTGAATTTATTAAAACTAAACTTAAAGTTGTTAGCAGCGACCTCTACAACGTAAAAACGATATTCTAAATTTAAGATTATAATCTTGGCTCCTATTAATTTATAATATAAGTTTTATAAAATATAATAATAATAATAATAATAATAATAATAATAATAATAATAATAATAATTGTAATAATTATAATAATAATCACAATAATTATATTAATAATTATAACAAGTTATAATAATTATAATAACAATTATAATAATTTTATAATTAGAATACAATATTCCGTAAATTCATTCAATTTTGAAAACTCGACGCCATATTGGATCCGCCATTCTGTATCTTTTAAAACCTGATTCGAGGAGATATTAGTAGAAAAAAATGTCACTTGAATTACTTTATTAATTGTGTTTGTTCTAACCTCAAAATAATTAATATGGATTAGAATTAAAATAACAAATTTTGACCCCGTGTTTTTTTTGTTAATTCTCATTGGTTCTTGATTTTCTTTCAGTTTAAGGAGAGGTCCGGGAGCTAACGTGCAAGACGCGAGTGGTTATACTGCACTTCATCATGCGGCCCTCAATGGTCACAGGTAAATATTTTTTCAATTTTAAATAATTATTTTTTTGTACGCTCCAAATAAAAGAGACTTAAAAAGTTTATAATTCAATTTTACTTGCGAAATTTAAATTATTCGGAAATTCTTTAATTTAAAAAAATATTGGAAAATAAAAACATCAAATAATTTCAAAATTCAATTAATCTTTTTGAAAAAAATTAAATTTCTACAGAATTGTTAATTAACCTCGAGAGGTCCGGGGTGGCCACTATAGTGTCCACCATTTATTTTGACAAATCTTTTTATCAAATTAACTTTTTATTTAATTTTTTTTAATAAAAACAAACTACTGAAATTTGTGCAAATTTGCCGGCCCTCTAAAGGTTAAAAGTGTGAAAAATTCAGATTTTTAAGGACTTTAATTTGAAACTTTTTCAAAATTCAATTATTTCTGAAAATTCACGCTCTAATGCTTTTAATATTCAATTATAATCTAAAATTTTAACTGAAATTTATTTTTAAATCAATATTTATTAGAAAATTCTACGACAATTCAATTATTTTTAAATACAAACATATAAAATTTATTAAATAATTGAATTCTTTTGATGAATATTGAATAACAATTAAATTCCTGAAAGAAATTTAAAAAATTTATGAAAATAATTGAATTACTGCCAAGAATTTAATACCAAATTTTAATACATTTCATTTTTTCGAAAAAATTTATGCAAATTTACACCTACTTTAAATAATCGAATTCCTGGGAAATTTTTTTTTTTTTTTTTGAGGAAAATAATTGAAAGTTCGAGTAGAATTTAATAAAAAAATTTGTTAATAATTGAATTCTTTTTGGCAATTTTATCAAAATAGTAGAATATTTAAAATTATTGAATAAAGAAAAATTTGGAAAATAATTGAAATTTTGTTATAAATTTTATTAAAATTTTAGAAAATAATTGAATTCTTGTGATGAGTATTGAAATGATTGAATTTCGAAGAAGAATTTTATTAAAATTTTTGAAAATAATTGAATTTCTGTTAAATGTAATTGAAATTTTGACGAAAATATTTTTAAATTTTTAAACGTAATTGAATATTATTAAAATTTTTGAAAAAAATTGAAATTTTGACAAGATTTTTATAAAAATTCTTGAAAATAATTGAATTTTGGAGAAGATTTTTATTATTTCTAAAAATAATTGAAATTTTGCGAAGAATTTTAAAAAAATTTTTGATAATAATTGAATTTCGCAAAAAAATTTTATTATTTACAAAGATAATTGAAATTTTGACGAGACTTTTTAAAAAATTTTTGAAAATAATTGAATTTTGGAGAAGAATTTTATTATTTACAAAGATAATTGAAATTTTGACGAGAATTTTATTATAATTTTTGAAAATAATTGAATTTTGGAGAAGAATTTTATTATTTTTAAAGATAATTGAAATTTTGATGAGAATATTTAAAAATCTTTAAACATAATTGAATTTGTGCGAAGAATTTTATTAAAATTTTTTTTAATAATTGAAATTTTGACAAGAATTTTATTAAAATTTTTGAAAATAATTGAATTTCTGTGAAGATTTTTATTAATTTTAAAAATAATTGAATTCTTGTGATGAATATTGTTATTTATGAAAATAATTGAAATTTAGAAAAAAATTGAATTGATTGAATTTCGAAGAAGAATTTTGTTAAAATTTTTGAAAATAATTGAATTTCTTTTAAATGTAATTGAAATTTTGACGAAAATGTTTTTAAATTTTTAAACGTAATTGAATTTTATTAAAATTTTTGAAAAAAATTGAAATTTTGACAAGAATTTTATTAAAATTTTTGAGAATAATTGAATTTTGGAGAAGATTTTTATTATTTCTAAAAATAATTGAAATTTTGCGAAGAATTTTATTAAAATTTTTGATAATAATTGAATTTTGCAGAAAAAATGTATTATTTATAAATATAATAATTGAAATTTTTACGAGACTTTTTAAAAAAATTTTGAAAATAATTGAATTTTGGAGAAGAATTTTATTATTTACAGAGATAATTGAAATTTTGACGAAAGTTTTTAAACTCTCTGTTAACTCTTCAATTTGTTGTTAATAATAATAATAATATAAGTATTTATTTATTAATATATTTAAAAATATTAATTTCTTAATATAATTATAAATATTTATTTCCTAATATATTTATAAAATATTTTCTTATTATTATATATTTATGAAATATTTATTTATTTATTATTGTATTTATATGTACAAATAATTTATTGTTAAACAGGGACGTGGTGAAACTGTTGCTTCAGCACGAGGCGTCGCCGAATGTTGTCGATTCGAAAGGCTCGTCGCCACTTCACTTGGCGGCATGGGCAGGCGACGCTGAAATCGTGAGACTAATTCTGAGTCAGGGTCCTTCCAATCCCAAAGTCAACCTTGCGGTAAGTAATTCCCCGTTTGGAACACTTGTCGTTGGGGCTTGGTGCAAAACTTTATCTACTCGAAAGTTTTTGTCGAAACCATTTTGAGGCGTTCTTACGTGAAAATTAAAACGCTCTCTTGAAACCCGTTCTGCTTCTGTCGCTTCTGTGTTTTATTTTCCCACCAAACAACCACTTGTCACGAATTTCGACCGAGTACCTACCCTCTTGCTAGGAATTTATACTTTTTATTTCCTTTTTTACTCTCCTGACACGTTTTTGCAATTTTTCAAAGACCCTACACTTAATTTGGACCTAAATAATTACCAAATTATTTATCCACCTCGAGCTTTTGCTATTTCCTACTTTTTAGAGTTTTAATGAATAAATTTTGTTAATCATTGAATAAAATTTGTTCAAAATGAGAAAATTGGAATTATATTTTGAAAATTGTAGACTGAGTATAGTTTAGAAGTAATAAAGTGAGGAAAAATTGAGGTGATGAGAAATTTGAGGTTAGGAAACCAGTGAAAACGGGGGTTAGTTTAGAATCAGTTTAGTATTTAGTTTTAGTTATTTAAATTATAATGTAGTGTAAAAATGGTGAAATTACTATTTTTGGATTAATGTAAATAATAAGCAATTAATTTGAGGTTCGCGATTGTTTGCAGACGAAGGACAATGAGACAGCTCTGCATTGCGCTGCACAGTATGGCCACACGGAAGTGGTGTCACAGCTGTTGCAGTACGGATGCGACCCCTGCATCCGCAACAGCCGCGGAGAGTCCGCTCTCGATCTCGCCGCACAATATGGAAGGTAAAATAATAAATTTCACATCCACATTCTTTTTCACGGCATTTCATTTTTAAAATGAATTTTACAAATATTTGCAAAAATGGAGAAAATAAAATAATTTCAATTTTACAAACATATTAAAGTGAAAAATGTTATTTAAAAATTGTTACAAAATAAAAAAATATTGTGCGTGACACGCGGTATTCCATTTATTATTATTATTATTATTATTATTTTTAAAAAAATTATTATTATGCAAATTACAAAATTTTTTATTTTTAAATATCAGATTCAATTTTTTTATTTATTTATTTATTTTTAAATCATTTCAGATTAAAAATTTAAGAAATTCGTTTATTAAGTACAAAACTAATTATTATATATTATTGCTTATTATTTTTAAAAATTTTAATAAAAAATCCATCGCTAGAATTATATTCATTTCACAAATTAAAAAAAAATTCATCTTCTCGAATTCAATTAATTTTATAAATAATACAATTCTTCGTAACTTAAAAATTTCTTCTTCGAAATTCTTTATAAAATTATTTTTAAAAATAGTAAATTTTTCAGCAAGAATTAAAATATTTTTGTAAATAAGAAAATTCTTCGAAACTTCGAAATTCTTCATAAATTAATTTTTTTTAATAATAAATTTTTTCTTAAGAATCAAATTATTTTTATAAATAATCAAAGTTTTCCAAGGAATTCAATTATTTTTAATGCACTTTTTAAAGAAATTTCTCTAAAGAAATCAATTATATTCAAAATTTGTAATGAAATTCTGAGAATTCAATTATTTTCAATAATTTTAATGAAATTCTGAGAATTCAATTATTTTCAATAATTGTAATAAAATTCTGAGAATTCAATTATTTTCAAATTTTTTTTGTAAAATTCGCAATAATCAAAGTTTTAATTACAATAATTAACGAGCACGAATATTTTAAAAAATTGAAAGAAATCCTTAATTGTTAAATTCAATTATTTTCGAAATTTTTAATTAAATTCATTAAAAAAAAATACTTTCAAAAAAAAATTAATTAAATTACTGAAAAAAAGTATAATTCTCTATCTATAATTGTAATGAAATAAAATAAAAAATTATTTAAATTTATTAACAAAATTGAATATATAAAAAAAATCGAAGAATACTTCTTATGGAATTGAATTATTTTCAGAACAATTTTTAAAATAATTTCTGGACGGAATTCGAATTTGGAAACTTTAAAAGAAATTCTTTATAAAATTCAATTACTTTTAAAATTTTCAATTAAAATTATTTAAAAAACGCTTGTTTCAAAAAATAAAACAAATTTTCAATAGAATTCAATTATTTTCATAAATAATAAAATTTTTCTAAGGAATTCATTTATTTTTAATACAATTTTTAAAGAATTTCTTTAAAAAATTCAATTATTTTCAAAAATTGTAATAAAATTATGAGAAGAATTCAATTATTTCCAAACAATTTTAATAAAATTCAAAATTCAATTTTTTAATTACAATAATTAACAAATACGAATATTTTAAAAAATTGAAAGAAATCCCTTGTAAAATTCGAATATTTTCAAAATTTTCAATTAAGTTCAATTAAAAAAAAATATTCTCAACAAGAAATTTTTCCAAAGAATTTAATTTTCTATCTATAATTGTAATAAAATTCAATAAAAAAATTATTAATTGAATTTGTTGACAAAATCTATTTTATTAAAAAAAAAATTTCAAATTATTTCTTAGAAATTCAATTATTTCCAGTATAATTTTAAAATTATTTTTTAAAAGAATTTGCATTTTAAAAACTAAAAAGAAATTCTTTATAAAATTCAATTATTATCAAAATTTGTAATTAAAATTATTTGAAAAACGCCATTATTCTCAATAAATTAAAAAAAATCTTCAAAACAATTTAATTAATTTGCTAGAATCCAATTATTTTTAAAAATAATTTATTATTTATAATATCATCTTTAAAAAATTTCTTTAAAGAATTCAGTTATTTTGAAAATTTGTAATAAAATTATGAATTCAATTATTTCCAAACACATAATTTTTTTTTTAAGAATTTAATTGAAAATTTTAAAAATAATTTAATTTTATACAAAATGATTTCTTTAAATTTTTTAAAATAATCGTGTTTTCATTGTAATTAAAAATTTGATATTGGATTTTATTAAAATTGTTTGGAAATAATTGAATTCTATTTTTATTTAAATGAAATTCAATGGAAAGAAATCTTTTTGTATAAAATTCAATTATTTTCAAAATTTTCAATTAAATTCATTGAAAAAAATAATTTCCAAAAAAAGTAAAATGACTTTATTATTGTTTTTCAGATTAGAGACAGTTGAGTTGTTGGTACGAACGCATCCGGAATTAATTTCTTCTCTGAGATGCTCGTCTTCGTCATTGATATTTCCTCATACTCCACTGCACTTGGCCTCGCGAAATGGTCACAGGTGAGAGATAATTAATTTTTTTCTTAATCCATAAAGAAAAATTTATTTTACGATCTTTAATAGAATTAATTAAATTGAGACAAAAAAAACGAATCAAAAGTGTTGCGAAGCAACATTTTTGATTCGTTTTTTGTCTCAATTTCGAAATCCTTAAAAAAAACTTAGGCCATTTTTACGAATTGTCACTTTTTCGAAATATTATTTTTACGAATTGTTATTGTTCGGAAATGTCATTTTTTCGAATTGTCATTTTTACAAAATGTCATCTTTGCGAATCGACATTTTTACGAATTGTAATTTTTGCGAATCGACATTATTGCGAATTGTCACTTTTGCGAATTTTCATTTACGCGATCTGGCATTTTTTCGAATTGTCATTTTTACGAAATGTCACTGTTTCGCAAAAATGACTTTTCTCAAAAGTGACAATTCGTAAAAATAGCGATTCGCAAAAGTGACAATTCGTAAAAATGTCGATTTGCAAAAGTGACAATTCGTAAAAATGGCAGTTCGCAAAAGTGACAATTCGTAAAAATGTCGATTCGCAAAAGTGAAAATTCGAAAAAATGGCAATTCGCATAAATGACAATTCGAAAAAATGACATTTTGTAAAAATGGCAGTTCGCATAAATGACAATTCGCAAAAATGACAATTTGTAAATATGACAATTCGAAAAATGACATTTCAGAACAATAACTATTCATAAAAATGACAATTCGTAAAAATGATATTTCGCAAAAGTGACAATTCGTAAAAATGACGATTCGCAAAACTGACATTTCGTAAAAATAAGATTTACGATCCGAAATTTCAATTAATTTCTTTACGTAAATTCACTGTGGATATAAATATTTGATTACGAATATCAAACTAAAGTTTTTCCCCCTATTTTCAAGGTGAGAGAGAAAATTTCTTTTTGTTTCGTAAACGATGGAAATTTTTCGACAAACAGAAAAGTAGATTAAACTGAAAGAATTCGAAACATTGAGTTGGAAAAATAAAAAAAAGTGACAAATATAGTCCACGTAGACTTTATTTGGTTAAGCTGATGAAATGATCAGGAAAGACACATTGACCGCTCGTGTTCGTGTTTTCGGTCCACACGTTCACCTGGCACCGACCGCCAATTCCATTTTATATTGTGTTACAAATGCCGAGGTAGCTGCTAAATTAGCCTCAATTTGTACCGTTCACGGTCTATCTCTCGTGCTGACGCGCCAATACTCTGTGCCAAATTAAACATTTACAATAAACAAACACCTGCTTGTTTCAGTAACGTGTCAAAATTCGCGATGTAACTTTTTCCCTCTCTTTTGCGCAATTCAACATTTACAGAGAGACAACCGCATTAAAATCGAAAAGCAATTTTCGATGATTTTTTGTTCTTGTTTGTTTATCCCTCTCGCGTGTGTGTTAAATATATATGGAGTAACATTGAGAAGTATTTTTTTACAGCTTTTGTATTATCATCATCCACCTGTTTGAATCGTTATGTAAATAAATCCCGGCAATTAATTTCTTATCCACATGTATATTTAAATTCTGTAAAATTATTAGCCGCTGGGGTAAAAGAGTAAATTTGCTGTTTCAATCGAAATTTTAAAGTGCATCTGGATTTTTAAGGACAAAATTAATAGATGGTTTTAAAAACCCGTTCAAAAACAAAAAAAAAGTTTTGTTTCATTCATAAACTAAAATTACCACGAGTTCTAAAAAAACTTTCAATTTTTTCTATTTCTGACAATAATATTTCTTTTGAATAATTTAATTCCATTGAAGAACTGTCATAAAGTATAATAACTTTTTAATTACCTATAAATCATTTAATAAAGTATTTTTTCAAAAATTTTAATTTCAATTCTGTTGAAATTAGTTTCAATTTTTAAAATTTTAACGCAATTATTTAATATCAATTCTTTAATATCAAAATTCATTCCAGAAATTCAATTATTTTCAAAGATTTGAAAACAAAAATTATCGCAAAAATTTCTTCGCCAAAATTCAATTATTTTCAGGAATTTTAAAAAAATTCATTGCAAAATTCAATTATTTTGATAAAAAGCAATATTCATCAGAAGAATGCAATTATATTCAAAATTAATAAAATTCTTAAAAGAAATTCAATTATTTTCGAAAAATCTAAAAAAAATTGGCAACATTTTAATTATCTTTGTAAATGAATAGCAAAATTCTTAGACAAAATTCAATTATTTTTAGGAATTTTAATAAACTTCAATGCAAAATTCAATTATTTTCATAAATAATATTATTCATCACAAGAATTCAATTACTTCCATAAGTAATAAAATTTATAGCAAAATTTCAATTATTTTCAAAAGTAATAAATTCAATTATTTTATCAAAGAATTTCAATTATTTTAAAACAATTTTATTCAAATTCTCAAAAAATTTAATTATTCTGAAAAATTTTATTAAAATTCGTCGAAAAAATTCAATTATTTAAATAATTGTTTTTAAAATTTTAAGAAACATTCAATTATTTAATAAATTATTATCTATGTCTGTATTTGAATAATATTGAATTTTCGAAGAATTTTCTCATAACAATTGATTAAAAAAAAAAATTAATTTCAGATAAAATTTTAGATAATAAAATTGAATTTGGAAGAAGTTACAAATGATTGCAGAAATACAATTATTTTCAAAAATAATAAAATTCTAAGCGAAAATTCAATTATTTACAAAAAATTTTAATAAAATTCTTAGCAAAATTTCAATTATTTTAAAAAATTTAAATAATATTATTTAAAAAAATTCAATTTTATTCTAAAATTTTAAAATATTCTCGCAAAAATTTCAATTATCTTCATAATTAATAAAATTCTTCTCCGAAATTCAATTATTTTCAAAAATTTTAATAAAATTCTTAGCAAAATTTCAATTATTTTAAAAAATTTAAATAATATTATTTAAAAAAATTCAATTTTATTCTAAAATTTTAAAATATTCTCGCAAAAATTTCAATTATCTTCATAATTAATAAAATTCTTCTCCGAAATTCAATTATTTTCAAAAATTTTAATAAAATTCGTTGCAAAATTTCAATTATCGTTATAAATAATAATATTCTTCTTCGAAATTCAATTATTTTCATGAATTTTAATTATTTTCAAAAATTTTAATGAAATTCTCCGCCAAATTTCAATTATTTTCAAAAATTTTAATAAAATTCGTTTGCAAAATTTCAATTATCGTTATAAATAATAAATTTCTTCTTCGAAATTCAATTATTTTTATGAATTTTAATTATTTTCAAAAATTGTAATAAAATTCTTGGCAATAATTCAATTAATAAAGTTACTAATTAATTTCAATTTTCAGAAATAATTGAATTTTTGTAAAACTTTCAAATTAAAATCTTTGATAATCTGAATCAGGGAAAAACAAAATAAAAATATTTGATAATCTGAATCGGGGAAAAAGAAAATTATATTTTTGTTGCAACTCTGAAATGGATGGGAAAAGAACTTTTTTTTTAAAGCAGTGTTAATGACATTTTTTTAAGGGCCGTTGTTGAGGTGCTGCTTGCGGCGGGCGTCGATGTCAATACCAGAACTTCAGCAGGCACTGCGATGCATGAGGCGGCACTTTGTGGCAAGATGGAAGTTGTGCGAACACTTTTGGACAGAGGTGTCGACCTTGGAATTCGTGACTCACGACAAAATACGGTGCTCGACCTTCTCGGTCAATTTCCTCCACATGTTACGCAGGATATCACTGCTGTGATAAAAAGTAAGACAATAAATGCTGTTTTCTTCTTTTTTCAATATAGTTCTTCATTTTATTAATTTCACTGATGGTCGAGAACTTTCCTTCCATCTTACTAGTTATCTATTAAGTGATAACTACTATTTATCTATTAATAGGTTACTACAAAATACTATTAGTTACTACTAGTAGCCTACTAACTACTATTAGTTACTACTAACTACCTACTAACTACTATTAGTTACTACTAACTAACTACTAGATACTATTAGTTACCTACTAACTACCTACTAACTACTATTATTTATTACTAACTACCTACTAGATACTAGTAGTTACCTACTAACTACCTACTAGATACTACTATTTACCCACTAACTACCCACTAGATACTGATAGTTACCTACTAACTACCTACTAGATGCTAGTACCCACTAACTACCCACTAGATACTGGTAGTTACCTACTAACTACCTACTAGATACTGGTAGTTACCTACTAACTACCTACTAGATACTAGTAGTTACCTACTAACTACCTACTAGATACTAGTAGTTACCCACTAACTACCTGCTAGATACTAGTAGTTACCTACTAACTACCTACTAGATACTGGTAGTCACCTACTAACTACCTACTAGATACTAGTAGTTACCTACTAACTACCTACTAGATACTAGTAGTTACCTACTAACTACCTACTAGATACTAGTAGTTACCTACTTACCACCTACTAGATACTAGTAGTTACCTGTTAGTTGCCTACTAACTACTAGTTACCTATTAACTACTACTAGTTACCTATTAACTACTACTAATTACCTACTAACTACTACTTGTTACTACTAGTTATCTAATTAGAGATAACTAGTAAGATGAAAAAAATTTTTCCTCTAACAAACGATAGATTTCGTATAAGAAAAGATTATTGCATTGAGGGTGGAAAAGTGAATAGAATTTTCTTGTTTGTGTTGTGTAAAGGACACCGATCTTCATCGGGGGTGGAAAGTGATGCCGACAGTGAGAACTTGCCGCCAATTCCGGTGCAGTGTGGCGATTCGTTGGGCAGCCCTTACGAGAACGTTAGACCGGGAGACGATCTCTCCCCAGCGGAAGGGACATCGCCCACTCAATGGCAGTTTTATCACAAGCCTCGAGACGATGATCGTCGAGTTTCCGGCACTTCCGCCGCCTCATTGTAAGTAACCTTTCATATTGTCCCCTTCATTTTCCGCCGCCTTTTGCCAGCCTCTATTCATAATTTTCATTTTTGCTATTATATTTAATACAAAATACACCATCCCTTACCTTCTTTCTAGTTATTAATTCACATTCGCATACTTTTGAGTTAAAACCAACAGTCAAAAGTTTTGACTGTTAAAATCGAATTTGACTGTAATAAATTATCAAAATTTTAAATGGGTTTATTCTATGTCCTGCTCTTTTGTCAATGATCAATTTAGCTGTTCCCTCTAGATTTACTAGAAATTTTGTACCTTTCCGAGTAAACTTTCACAGAACAAATTATGGAAATAATTAACTTATTAATAGGATTATTAGAGAAGCTAATAACAATCTCAGATCGAATTACTTTTTTTGATAATAATTTACAGAGGTTCACCTTAGCATTGCGTAGAATAGTTTTAAATTTCGATAATGTTGAGCCAGCCTAGATGTTAGTTAAAAAAAAACTTTTGTAATTACTATTGTAATTTTATTCTTTTAAGTACTTTTGTAGGAAAGGGCATGTCCCGTTTATAATGGTAAATAAATAAATAAATAAATAAATAAATAAATAAAATACTTCTATAAATTGGCTTCAAAAAAACTAATTATATTTACTTTAATTAACGCGTACTTCGAACAATAATTTATAAAGGTAGTGGATTCTCTCTCTACTTGGTTATTATTTATTCAATAGATAGAGAACCTTACTCTTTAATATTTGGAATGAGAGTATAATTATAGGTTTTTAAACTAAAAGAAACAATTTGATGATATAATTTATAAAAGTATATTGTGTCCCAAATTTTCATTGCACTTGGTTGTTACCAAGACAATTTTGCAACCTTGCAGTTTTAGACCTACTTTAATGTGGCTTAGCCATTTCTCAAAAAGTCAATGAACTGTTCGATAAGTCTTAATTTTAATTATATTCTAAGTCGCTCGAATTGTGAAACCCACAAAAATGTTAATTTATTAATTTAGAATGTTCCTTTTTTTAGGGTTTTGTATCTTTATTTCATGTCTTTAGCATATTAATTGCAAGCACCAAAAATAAGAACATGTGAGTTTAAAAAATTTGTGTAAATGACTATAAAATGTCTGGATAGTCGCGTTTGTGTCTATTTTACATCAAACGAAGTTCATCATTTTGAATTAGATCCTATAAAAATTTGTATAACAGAATATTAAAATGATTCTGCTAACTGATGTTTATAATAAGTCCAATGTTTTAATAAAGACATAGTCTCAGATCCATATTGTTGTCGAATGGATTTAAAGAAGTATCTTGAAGTAGCTGATGAACTTGGGGACAATCTCACCAACTCTCATTAAAATTTAGTCAATGTTTAAATCCTTAACTGGCTAATAGTAAACAGTTATAGCGGCTTTAATATTTCATTAACTTTTAATCAGAATTGGTGAAATTGACCCTTAGAGAAGTAGAGAATATTAAAAGTTACGAAATTCGGCCTCAACATTGCGACAAAATGAATATTCGGATACTTCAGTCCTAAAACGGATTTCGCTATTGATGATTCGGTTAAATTAAAAATAGGCTTTATTTAATTTAATGGAATACTTTATTGCGAAAAGTGTTTTTTTTCGAATGGGAATTCAGAGCTGAAATTCTAAGGTCGAAAAGAGGTATGTCCAGTATGAATAGCTATAGACAGCAGGGCATGTATAAATGTTGGTAGGGGTTTAATATAGGAGATGTGGGCAAACAAAAGCGTAGATGTGGACTAGCCGAGTGAATGAACGGGAGAGGGGTGGTTCGGACTGCGGCAGACTGCAAGAAGGGCGGAGGTGGTGCGGAGAGGCCGCGAATGTAGCTCTAGCGCGTTAAGCACCGCTTGGCTTGGTTTAATTTTCCTGATGTAGGCAGGCGATGGTGGTGGGTTCCGACCGACCCTCTCCGCAGCTCCATTACTACTTGAAGCACTGCTACTGCTGCTGGCATAGCGGGGGTGCTGTTTCAGACTTCCGAACCCGAGTGCTGATGTTTGACGTTGGTTGTGCCCCCTCCGCGAGATGAATCCATCACGTTAAACAATGTAAATGTTAGCCCGTCTCGACATAAAACTAATAACTATCGCACTCCTAAAACCCACCTCGAATCCATCGACCACCGGTATACTCGCTTTACCAACTTCCACCACACTTCTCCGCGTCTTTCTTTTTCTTCCCTTAAATCTCCTTCTGCCGCAGAACTTTAATTTTTCCCTCGTCTTTTTTTTCTCTATTTCCTTTTTTCATCCCTCAGGGTTGCCACAGGTCAGGACAGGTGCAGATCTAGGACCACCCCCTTCCAAGTTAATTTAACGTTGTTTTATATTTATATACATTAGCTGACCACTCCCTATTCTGAAATATTTATATAAACTGACAACCCCCTATTGTAAATGCTGGATCCGCCCTGTCCCTAGTAGTTCAACTAACTCCAATTGCAATGACACTAAATTTTCATTTACCCAATGTTTTTAAATTTTAATATTTTTGGTTTTTCTAAGAAATTGTACTTTTTGAAATTTTTAATCTAGACATATATTTTGCCAAAAATTGCGAAGCTAATGCAATGCTTTAATGTACTATGTAAAATGTAAAGAATTTTTAGTGATGAAAAGATGTCATTTGTGGGGGGGATTTCAGTGAGGAAATTTGGGATTTGAAGGACCTTCTACTTCCGAGTGCAAGAAGGTACTACCACATGACGGAGTACTCTGATCCGAGCTCCATAATCGATAGTGTCTTTATGTCCATGTCCGACACTCTCAACTCTATTAACACCCTTCCAAGTTCAGACCAAACACCTGAAGACATACCACTAAACATTTGCACTATAACAACACCATCATGTGACGCACGGTATGACACAGTAAAACACTTCCCGCTATTAATCCATAGCTAAATAATTCTGCATCAGTTTATATAGCTTGAATTTGATTAACCCTCTGCCTGCACTGAAATCCTGTGTGAGTTGATAAATAACGATCCTTGTGACAATATGATGATGATGATAATAATTACAGAAGAGGATGGGCAGAGGGTTAAATTGTTTTTTAGGACCAATTTTCATTTTCCATACGCTTGGGCAGATTAGAATGGTCAAAAACTAGCGAACCATGGGCAATGACAACAAAATTTCTATATTTTTTACCATGGCTAAAATTTAACAATTCACAGTAAAACGTGAGGTGTTAAAATAACACCAGAATGAATTAAAATAATTTGCAACAGTTTAATCCCTCTAAGATTAAATTAACAACAGAAAGGATTAGAATAATCTATTTTGGCGTTATTTTTAACTATGAATGAAATTTTACTTTAAATAAAACACCAAAGTCAACGATTTGTAAAAATTCGACAAATTTAGCTTCTCCAGGGAGAATAGTAAATTAGTAAGTTAGTTACTAACTTAGTTACTAACTAACTAACTTAGTAACATATTTACTAAATTCAATTGTGTTCAAAAATTCTTGAGTATAAATATCAATATCAAAAGAGAGAAAAAGCAATATGTGTGCTCGCTTTAGTCTAATTGTACAATGTAGAGAGAGAGATGACAAAGGAGAAGAAGCGACAAGGTGTTCTAATTACTTGAATCTTGTCACTTGAATATGGATAATTCTGTTTGCACAGGGGCTCCGACAGTGGTCTCTATCAAACGCCACCCATCCCACGTGGAATGTTGGAGGGTAGCTTCGCGTCGGAGGATTTGTCCTTGACATTGCCACCAGGCTATGGGGGTGGACGGGAGTCGGATCAATTGAGCGTCTCCTCATCATCAAGCGTCGGTGGACCGAGCCCGCGAGATCGACGATGTTTGCCCAACGATTCCAATGCTTCAGGGATTTACTTGCCGATGGCACCCCTGTCCAGTTCATCGCACACTCCCGCCTCCAACAGTAAAGTCTCGGTAAGTTCAATTCAACCAAGAATTTCCTCTCTCAAATGAAAACAAACCGAAGGTTTTGTACCAAGTACAAATGTCAAATGAAAGAAGAAAGAAAGGGAAAAAAAAAGAAAAGAATTCCAATGATGAAACAAGAAAACCACTCTTCGGTTTTGTTTACACTGACATTCTATTTCGAGTGTAATCTTTCCGATGGTTTTCAGATCAATTTCATCTTTAGGTCAATATCTTTTTCTTCATCTTTGCTATTTGATAATTTTTCTCTTTTGCTCTGATTACAAAAGGAAAGAATTAAGAGTTCCTAGGGAAGGGTTGAATTCAGGGAAAGTAGAATTGATTTTTTTATGTTTTATAATAAATATTCTTAGAAGTTATTAAAATTAAAAAATTTGTTTGCAGCCAACGCCGCCGAAGAAGCCGCCGCGAAGAAATCTGTCAGTGTCGCCAACTCATCTACAAACGCAGATGTCACTTTCGGCAGACTGCACCCTGGGACCAAGCAATTATGAGTACTTGTTTCTGGCCCGAAGCGGTGCCCGCAGTCACATTGATCTTGAACAATTGCAAGCGCGCCGCGAACAATTGCGACACGTGACGCGAAGTGTCGATCAGTATGTCGACATGAAAGCACGTTACGATCTTCAAATACTTGAGTCTGGAATTGAACCTGTTGCAATAACATCGATTGTTGAGAATCGACCAATGAAAACGCAAAATCCAAGACGAAAGCTACGTCGACATTGCGAGCGTGCTTATGAGAATTATGATTTAGATAGTAGTCCAACGAATACGGATAAATCGCCGTGCAGTGAGAGTGGAACGCCACAGGATCGAACCTTTGTCTCGAATGCCTTCCTCACGCTCAAGTCTTCCCAGGAGAGTTTGCTTGACTATAAGCGCGACGGAAACGATGCACAGTCACTGGATAATCGTGAGGCAACTGATAAGAGACTGAAACGCGTACAAATGATGTTACCGACCAGCCCGACTCACTACGTCCAACCGCCCACTCCCGATCATCCGCCACCGTCCGCTCTCCAAGCTGAAAAGTCCATTCACGAGAGAATTCGTCCTTTGAGTCAGGTGAGTCTTTCTTTATTCTTTACTGTTTTTTATTCCCATCGCAGTTCATACAAAAATTTGTCGCTTACCACATATTTTTGGTATTTTATAATACATTATGCAACAAAGCTGGTCAATAAAGCGGTCATTATTGCCCTTGGTTAATAATGAGTACTTTATTAACCTGTGAGCAGCGGTCAATAAAGTGGCTATTATTGTCCTAGGTTAATAATCAGTACTTTATTGACCTGTGAGCAGCGGTCAATAAATTGTCCATTATTGCCCTAGGTTAATAATCAGTACTTTATTGACCTGTGAGCAGCGGTCAATCAAGGACCTAGGGTAACAATGATCACTTTATTGACCGCTGGGTTATAAGATTATATTCTCTAAATAAAATAAAAAAAATAAAATTCTACACATACTTTTAATTACTTTTCAAAAAAGAGAAATTTCACCAGAATTCAATTATTTTCAAAATTAATAAAATTCTTCGCATTTATAAATAGCAAAATTCTTCGCCGAAATTCAATTATTGTTAGGAATTATAATAAAATTCAATTATTTAAAAAAAATTTAATAAAATTCAATTATTTTCAAAAATTTTAATAGAATTCATAGCAAAATTTCAATTATTTTCAAAAAATATTCCTAATTCAATGATTTTAAATACTTTAATAAAATTTCCCAATAGAATTTAATTATTAAATAACAATTTCGATAAAATTCTACACGAAATTTCAATATTATTTTCTAAAAGAAAATTAAAATTTCACGTGAATTCAATTATTTTTAGGAATTATAATGAAATTCATTGGAAAATTCAATTATTTTCAAGAATAATAGAATTCATCACAAAAATTCAATTATTTTGAAAAAATAATAAAATCCAATTATTTTCAAAAATAATGAAATTCAATTATTTTCAAAAGCAATAAAATTCAATTATTTTAAAAAAATTTTAATAAAATTCATATCAAAATTTCAATTATTATCAAAAATTTTTCCTAATTCAATAATTTGTATATCTTTAATATTAAAAAATGTTCCAAGAGAATTCAATTATTTAAAAACAATTTTGACAAAATTCTACACCAATTTTCAATTATTTTCTAAAGTAAAGAAAATTTGACAGGAATTTTACAAAAAATTATCTTTATAAATAATAAAATTCTTATTCAAAATTCAATTATTTTCAAAAATTTTAATAAAATTCTTGACAAAATTTCAGTTATTTTCAAACACTTTTCTCAATTCAATAAAAATTTTTTTTACAGAAATTGAATTATTTTAATACAATTTTAATCGAATTTCTTGAAAAATGTAATTATTCTTAAAAATTTTATTAAAAATCATCGAAAGAAATAAATTATCTAAAAATATTTTGATAAATGATGTATAAAAATTCAATTTTTTAAGAAATATTTAATTATTTAATAAATTGTATCTATGTTTGTATTTAAATAATAATTGAATTTTCGAAGAATTTTCTAATTATGTTGAAAAACTTAAAAAAAAACTCTCGTAAAAATTTCAATTATTATTCTAAATAGTAAAAATCTTCTCCAAACTTCAATTATTTTCAAAAAATTTAATAAAAAATATAAGGAAAAATTTCAATTACTTTCAAAAATTTTTAATAAAATTTTTCGCAAAAATGAAATTTTATTTAAAAATTTAAAAATATTCTCGTAAAAATTTCAATTATCGTTATAAATAATAAAATTCTTCTCTGAAAGTCTGAAATTCAATTCTTTTCATGAATGATAGAAATTTCATAGAAATTTAATTATTAAAAATAGAATTTGCATAAATTTTTTTTGAACAAAACCAATTATTTAAAATTTTTTTATATAATTCTTTGCAATCATTTAATTATTTTCAAAAATATTAAAATTCTTTTTAGGAATTCAATTATTTTTATAAATAATAACTCTCATCGCAGGATTTCAATTAATTTTAATACAATTTTAATTGAATTCCTTGAAAATTTTTAAAAAATTTTATTAATATTTTAATTTTATTAATTTTTAATTCTTAAAAAATCTTAAAAATTTTATTTTATTTTATTTGTAGAAGTAATGAAATTTTGAGAGGGTTTCAAATTAAAATCTTTAAAAATTAAAATTTTTCATACTTTTAACTAACAATTCTGTAGAATTAATTTTTTTGAACAAATTTAATTGAATTTTTTTTAAAAATATTTTAAAGTTTTTATTTTCTAATGTATATTTAATTGGATAGTTTCCGGAAAAATTTTTAAAAATAATTGATTTAAAGACGAATTTTAGTAAAAAATTCTAGAAAATAATAATTGAGTTGAAATCGTGAAAATAATTTTAAAGAAGTTACAGTAACAATATTTCTATAATCAAAGGTGGAAGAAGTCCTATAATTAATATTCTTATAAGTTATATTGAATTTTAAAGGTTCTAAATTTTAATCTTAATTCTTATAGAAAAATAATAATGATTGAATATTCGTTTAAAAATGAAGTTATTGATGTTTTCGAATAATTTTGTAATTAAAGAAATTCGTAAATAAATGCAATAGAACATTTTTTTTAGTATCTAATCATTTTTAGAGTGAATCATATAATAATTGTTTAAGTAACGATGCGATCCCACGATTAATGGGAAATAAAATTTTTGGTTTCCGAACCGAAGTTATTTTTTGCTTATTAGGAGATTAAATTCATAGTAAATTCCACAAGGCTTCATGTTTTGATAACCTTTCAGTTCATTAACTAAACACCATCGAAGCGTCGCAACTTTAAAAATACAAACTTATTTTATCCTCTCCGACACCTTCCCATTGATCAAATTTGCTTCCTGGCATATAAGCCTTAATGTCGCACCGAATCTGCAAATAGTGATAGCAAATCAAGAATTTGCAGTAATGAAATTTTTGGAAAGCATAGCTCCAGGAGTTTGGTGAAAATGACACAACTTTCAAGTAACAATTTCCATGATTGCGGTTCCCCTCATTCCATGTATAATGAATCGCTCTCGAAATATATCGCGTCTTCAGTGGGAAGATTCTAGCGAATGAGAACGTGAAATTTCGAAGAGATTCCAAGAATGCAATCGACTGGATAGAAGATAAGCAGTCGAGAAAGTCCTGAAGGGGGGCAGGAGAAGAGGGGAGGTTGCGTTTAATATACAAGCGATGTTTGATCTCTGATGCGATTTATAAGGAGTCTTCGCCCGTTTGCCGCGCGCGTCCTCCTGTGATCATTCTGCTGTGAGAACGACTACGTTCAGTTCGTACATCTACTATCTCCCTCCGGCGAATATATCCATAACACATCTCTCCTCGTGCATTTCTCTTCCAACTGACATTCGTCGTGTCACTGCCGCCCTTCTGCACCCTCAAATCCGCGTCTTTCGCCTTACCTCATACACGCTTCACGAGGCATTATATATATATATGGCAAACGCGTGTCATATGAGCGACGAATCAAGTCTTTATAGCCTGGGAAAGGATCATCGTTTGTATTTACATCCCGAAGATTCACCGCAACGCTCACATCCTTTGGTTCAAAGTCATCCGCTGGTGCAGAAGCCGTCTAGCTTTATGAATGCTCCGGATATACTGTCGAACTGATGATGAAAGAAACCATCCGACCTGCTTCTGATTCGAGCAACACTTGCAAAGATCAAGGCAACTTTATAAACTGCTCCGCAAATATTTTAGAAACGAATGAGAGTTAGATGTCGGATTAACGTCTTCCCTTTGATTCTATTCAGTTCTGATATTTTCACTATTTCCGAAATTAGGACATCTGTGAATTATGATATATCCTTAATATCTTATTTAATAAATCTTTATCCTGGTGTTCTTCCAGATGAATGGAAAAAGGGAATTATTGTACCTATTCGTAATGACCATTCTAAAGCTCAAGTCACTAATGACGAAAAAATCGACCTATTTGTTATTGTAAAATTGTTAATAATTTTAAAAAATTTAAAAACTTGACGTCACTTGAGAGCTATTTATATGTAGAATAAGTGTACAAAATTTCAAAACGATCGGTTCAGTAGTTTTTCCGGTAGGTTGGTCACCGACTTTAAAAATAACACTTTTGGGAAAATAGATTTAAAGTTTTGTACACTAAAAAAATGAAAATATCTTCAAAAAGCTGGACTTTCTTATAAAATACGTAAGTGTCATCATCGATGCCGGGTCCATACAGAACGTCATCTAAGGCAGCTTTTTGCTCCTTTCTACGTAAAATTCTGCCTTCTTTGGTTAAAAAAGGCGCGCCAAACTAAGTTAGAGGTACTGTCATAACCTACTGTAACTTTGTTAGTTTTGCTCTGAATGGTCTAAAAATTTAATACAATATTCTTCAGATATTGTACTTTCAGTAAAAAAAATAAAAAAAAAATGGAAAAAAAAGTTGTCAAACCTTCCCCCCCTTAATTCAATTACTTCACGTAAACAATTTTGTAAATCTCATAAAATCTTCCAGACTAAAATATAAATTATTTAGGAAGAGGTATAAGCTAAAAATACGCATCATATAAAACAATTTTAGATTATTAAAACTCATCCCCTTTCTAAATGAATAAATAAACTGTTCTGTCGTCTTCAAAATTACCTAACACATAGAACCTAAGACATAAAAACTCAAGATGTAAGTGATCCTATCGAAGGGTGACAAAACGTTGATGACCATATTGGATCCGCCATTTTAAAATTCGAGAATCTAACTTCAAATTTTGAATCAGCGTCCCCAAAAACCCTCAACTGGTGATTTAAAAAAAAACCCAACTATTTTTTTACTACATGTTTATTTATAATATATTTATTATAATATATAATAATACACATATATCGAGAGAGAAACGTATATAAATTTAGAATATATATCTATATGCGGCTGGTAGAACAAGATGGATAGCAATGGCAGTAACGTCTAAACCGTCAACTTCCGCGAAATCAACAGAGCGGCAGAATCCAAGACGCCGACAACCTTTGAATAATGAAGCCCTTAGCTTCTACGCTTGTCTGACTTCTCTACCATCCTCAGCGAGCAACTCACGATTTCGTCAAGAAGATCCCGTTTTCATTTTCCCGTCTTTGCACCAATCAACATACACCATTTTCACTAATTCCTTTCATCGTGTTTAGAATTCTGTGAAACCTAACGCTTTTTTCAAAAAATAATGGAGAAAAATAGTTCATTAAAAAAAAAAAATTTTTTTAGTACAAAGTCCAAATTATTTTCAAAATAAATAATGGTATGGAAAAATTACTGCTATAATTTAATTTATAAATTATAAAAATATAAATTATAATTTATAATACAATTTATAAGCTATAACATTTAACGGGGTTTTTTAAATTTCGCGCCAAAAGTTGTTTCAAAATTTTTCGATAGGGTCGCTTTAGTAGTTTGCCGTGATTCCCCGAAATTCATTCGAAAAAACTTTTCTATCCGAAGATTTAACGGTACAATTCAAAAATATAATACTCAAGAGTCAAAACAAATTGAATAAAATAAAAAATTGACAAATATATAAAAATTCCAAAATTTTCAATTTATAGTTCGATTTTATATTTTTTAATGCTTTATTTTATTTATTTTATTTATTTGTATAAAATAAATATAAATAGACATATTTTTACCATTAAAAAAAAAGAGTATATTCCTGTTGGGAAAAATTGAAAAATATATATTTCTCATTTTTTTGTCATGTGACAAGTTTACATTTTTTTTTTTGTTTTTATCGAATATCGATATGGTTGTATTAAACAGAAACGCGGCATCATCCACTCCTGGGTCACTTGGTAGAACTCGGCAATTTTTTTTTTCTTTTTTTATTTTTTTCATTTCGTAATATTTTGCCAGGCGGAACTGCGTTAGTTTGGATTTTCATTTTGATGAATTCCCTTTGAAGGAAGGTCGAGCAGAAATTCAGCGCGCGCGGTATCTTCTGTCAATTTACAACATTTTCCGTAACGAAACATCGATGTTGACATTCTTCCAAAAACGCATTTTACGTTACACAAAATTGCTTTTCACGAAATGACATTTATTAAAATTGTAATATTTTTAACTCTCCGGATCAGGGGACAATTTAAATTACTCTCTGTGTAATTCTCTGAGTTTAAAATAATGTGTACTCTTCATTTTTATTAAAAAAAAAAAAAAAAAAAAAATTAATTCACAATGTTTATATAGTTTAGAATTTTTATTATTTAAATTTAATATTTTGCAATGACTGTTTTACATATAAAATGCGAGCTAATATGAAACAGATATCGTTTGAAATGAGAAGAAAAAAAATTTTTTTTAAATAATGCTTTAATTATTGTTGAAGGTTTATAAGCGACGGTCGCGAGACATGGAAACGGAAACGGACGAAGATCTATTACAATTTCCGGCGGGTGTTTCACTGGACGCTTCAAGTGGTTCTCTATCGAGTGTCTCCCTCTCGGACAAAAGTATGTCAACTGACAATGTCGAAGAATTCTTTGGCGACGTACCATTCGCAGGTAAACAACAACAAACGCTTGGCTGCACCGCATGACGCTTTCTGCCCTCGTGTTTGTGCATTTTCGTTGTTTTTCGTTTTTGTTGTCGACCATTCGCATAATTTCATATTTTCAGTTTTTTTTCTCTCTCTCACTGCCCCCACCCACTGGGTTTTTTTTGAATATTTAAAGAATTTAAGAATTTTTTTTCTTAACAATGTTTTTGTCAATTAATTAATTAATCTGTCACTTAAACACTCAATCAATTAATTAATCAGTCAATCAATCAATCAATCAATCAATCAATCAATTAGTCAATCAATCAATGAAACAATCAATCAATCTTCATTAAGTCATACTCAGCATTTTGATCAGTTTGAATAAAAAATATTTGAGCATAATATTTAAAGTTCCGTTGCGTATTAATTAACGCAATTTATTGGAAAACTTGATTTTTTTTTTTTTTTTTTTTTTTTTTTTTTTTTTTTTTTTTTTTTTTTTTTTTTTTTTTTTTTAATATACGTTTAATAATTTTTTTTAGAATTTTTCTTCACTTTTGCTTTTCAGTTTAAAATAAGACGTTCAACTTTAAACAAGACGGAAAAAATGATCGAATAGCGAATATGTGAATATGCTTTTCCAATGACAAGGATCTTACGTGACAAAAAAATTAGAGGTTATGTTTAGAAAAGTTTTTGCTTAATTGAACATTAATTTTTTAATTTAAGTCGAAAGCAATTTTTCTTAAATATTTAGAATGTAGAATATTTAATAAAAATTAATGTTAATTGTAGAAAATTTCAAAGTGAAGCTTAAAAAAAATTCTCCTAAACATAACCTATAATTTTTTGTCAAGTAAGGTCCCTTTTACCGAAAAAAGTCACACAATTTAAACTAAAGCAATGTGATAAAAAAAAGAAAATTTTTCAAAATATGAAAATTATATTTAAATTATATTTAATAATTAAATTATTAATAAAATTATATATTTTCATAGCATAAATTTATTTAAACATATTTTTTGTAATTTTTTTTTTCAATTACAATTTTTATCATTTCTTCAAAATTATTATTCTTCACTTTATTATTATCATCATCATTGATAATAATTTACAGAAAAAAAACACTGCCTCATTTTCAATTATGAATTTCAAATTATTATCGATGACTAAAATTTTAATGAGCAAATTACAATTCAGAAAAAAATTGGGGGAAAAATTGTCAAGGTGAAAATGAAAAATAAAAATTGAACATGAGAATGAATTTGAGGTTGAAGAAAATTAAGTTGCTTTGGGGTTATAGGACTTTAATCGCGTGTTGAAAAAGGGGAAGGGAGGAGGGGTGGGTGGGGGGGGTTTCGGTGGCTCGTTTATTTACCATCGAGAAAGGCGCGGAAAATCTGGCCAATGAGGCAAAAGCCGCAGAGATCCGAACATTTCAGCTTACTTCTTCGGAAGTGAAGCGCGAAACGTGCCGCGCAAGCACAAACTTATTTCCACCCTAACGGTCTTTTGCGAGTTCATTATTCGCCACTCGTCTCCCACTTCTCTTTGCCTCTCGATTAGAAAATTCCAATTTTTCAATCATTTTCGAAAATCAATCAACATTATTTTCAAATGTCTTAAATCGAACACACAGAAAAAAGAAAAAAATAGAAATATCCTTTTTATTTTAAATTCTTTCATCGATAGAAATAATCAATTTTTTTTTTAAATCATTAATGTCAAAGAACTCTGATTATCAAGTTTAGATAAAAATTTCGTCCGCCATCTTGAATCCGCCATTTTTATTTTTTTAAATCTGGTGTAAAATTTATTATCTTTATGCTGGAATTAAAATTAAATAAATATAAAATTTTCTCTCGATGGTAATTTTCTTTCAGCGAAAAATATTGAATTAAAAAATCCGATTTTTGACATGTTCGATAAATAATTAAGTTTCCGATAATTTAAAGTGAAATGTTTTATCAAAAATTGAGATCTCTTTGTTTTAATTTATCAGCTTGACCAAATGTAATATTTAATAAAAATTATCGCTAGAGATAACAATCAATTTTTTTTTTTATAAAAAAAAGGGAAACATATTTTTGGGAGAAAATATTCTTGATGAACTATATTTACAAATTTTCAGTAGATGAAAATAGAATTCTAAAATGACAATCATAATGGGTTTAGAATATTTCGAGGTGAATTTAAATTTAAAATTTGAACCCCGTGTTGTAATAAATCGCGTGTCACAGAAAAAATCTGGACTTTAATAAAAATTTTTAATTTTATTAAATTTTATTAAAATTTTATTAAATTTTTATTAAAATTTTAATGAACTTAAAAATTCTTTTTTGAAATTAAATTTAAAAAAAAAATTTCTCTGCGATACTTCTATTTGTTTGCATAAATCAATCACTTTCATTCTTGTACTAATCGTAGGCATCATTTTTCATTTTGTTGTTGTATAACAATTTCAAGGATGAAAAATAATTTGCCGCATTGTAATTAAAAATGAAAACAAGATTTTTAAAAAAATACATCTGTATGGGCGCCTATTATTTTAAGAAGTGATTAATTTGCTCGGTTGCTCCAAAAAAAAAGACTGAAATCAAAAATTTACTTCCATAAAAAAAAATAAATATAATACATTTTTTTAATTTATTATTACACTTTACTATTTAGTTAATTAATTAATTAATTAATTAATCATAAGTACTGTATTCCAAATTGTGGCAACCATGCAAAAAAAAACAATTCCGTCGATATTCTTTCTGTAAAATTAGAATTTACGAATTCTATGATCTTAACATTTATTAATTATATAATTTATAATTATACAAATTATAATATAAAGTTATAAAAAAAATTATATAAATTCGTAACTAATTACAGTTATTTAACAATTTCATCACAATTCTTTGATTTGGATTTTTATGTTCAGAGCAAAATGTTGAAATTAATAAAATTAAGGCAAAATTCTCCTTTCCGGCTGAAATTAGATTTTTAGGCCTATTATAATAGAATGTAGAGACTTCCGGCTATGGAAAAACTTTCTCGAAAGTTGCTGTTTTTTCGAGAAAGAATTTAATAATGCCATTTACAAAGACTTTCAAATCGACGTAATATATATATAAATATATAAATAATATATAAAAAAAAACTGTTTTCTCAGTATTGAGATTTTACAATGATCCAGATTCCCACAAACATTATCCATTTAAGAGAGAGAACAAATAATTATGATAATTTAATTGACTTAGTAAAACATTTTAATAACTTTATTTATGTTCTTCGAGATTTTTAAACTTTCACAAACTAATCACTGGAAAATAGAGTTCATTTTTTGTTTTATAAAAATTAATTTTTAATTCTTACAAATAGTTTACAAATTATAAATAGTTTGTGGTAAAAAAAAAAATTTTTTGTTAAAAAAAATTATTAAATTTATTTTTTAATTAATGTTACAAGTTTTACAAATTATTAATTTATTTTACGTTTTTTAAATTTTGCATTTAATATTAATTAATAATTATTAATTATTAACTTCTAATTATTAATTACAAAAATAAATTTCAATAACTGAGTGCAGTAATTAATTTTATACATTACAAGACTATTTTTTTTTATTATTTATATTCTTTATCGTTTTGTTAATTTATTTACAATTTTTTTATTTCTTTGCTATTTTTTTATTTAATTAACATTTCTTTATTTATTATTTTCAATGTTGTTAATTTTATTAAGTGCAATTATTATTTAATTTTTATTAATGAATTAATTTGAAATTTAATTTAATTTAATTTGAAATTAAAATTAATGTTAAATTATTATTTTATTTATTATTTTCATTGACTAAAATTAAATAATGAATAATTATTAATAAATATAATTAATTAATTTTTAATAAAAGAAGAATTAATTAATTAAAAAAGAAAACTCTCTTATTGGAATCAGGATCATTATGCGAATGAGATAGAACGAAAATTTGTGAGATCAACAAATTTATTTATAAGTTATGAGAATTTATTTTGCAAATAGAGAAAAATATTGTTTTTGTTAACTTTATAGTATTTTTTTATGTGATACAAATAATTTATATTTCCTTATTTTTCACGCTTTTGTAATAATAAATAAAATTTATTTAAATATTCTTTTTTCTGAATAGAAAGAAAAGATTATTTTGCTATTGTAAATTTGAAATTGTTTAATCCATTGACATTAGGAAATTTTTTTCTCACAAAAAAAGAAAAAAAGTGTTTTTTTCTAATTACCAAACTTTAATTAATTTCGATTGAGTTAAAAATAAAGAAAAATTGGTTGAGGAAAAATTCTATTTAATCTTTTATATAAAAATTTGAAGTAATGAATTGAGTAAGTGACGTAGTGGGGGCAATGAGAATGAGAGAGAAGTTCCAGTACTTCTCTCTCTTTCCCATTGCCCCCACTCCGAAGAGGCGGAGCGTTAGCGTCAGCGCCGGAGTGGGGGTTAGAAATACAATACAATTTTTTTTTACCTTTTCAAATATAAAATAATTCCGATACAAATAATTCAATAATTCAATATAAAATATTTTCTATGCAATTGCCTAATAAAATAAATAGTAAAAACTAAATACTTAGGACTATAAAAATACTAGCAAAATTTTTTTTCAAAATACATTTTCAAAAGCCTATTTTCTAATTATATTTCACATTGTGGTTTCTTTTTTTTTGTTCAATGGATTAAACTTTTATATAATATTTCATTATTTTACAATATTTTGTTTTCAAAAATAGAGGAAATATATTTTAAAAAAACATTGTATTAGATTATATTTTGTTATTGTGTTTTTGCTTCGATTAGCTGTTATGTAATATCGCCTAATTTATATTAATATAAAAAATAATAATATATACCAATATATATAATATATACAAATATATATTTATTCAAAGGATATATATACCTATATATATGTAGGTAGATTAACAAAATAGAAAAATGTATTTATCTTAATATTTAAGAATAATATACGAATGGCGTATTATGTCATTAATTGGCCAATAAATATTGTGCTGTGTATATGCAATGTCTTGATTTATTTTGTTGCTTTAATTGCCCTTCGACGCTATAATTATACTAGAATGGTTTTTTTTCCCTTTTTTAATAATTTCAGAAAAATCAATTTTTCTTTAATTTGCGCTTATAGTAGAAATAGAGAAAAAAGTTCTACTTATAAAGAAGTTAAATTTTTTTTTTTAATAAGTAGAAGTGCTATTTTAATTTAATATGTAATTTAGCATTTAAATCTCGATTTAAATAAAATTTTACAAACATTTTACAAAAATAGTACAAAAATAGTACAAAAATAGTACAAAAATAGTACAAACATAATACAAAAATAATACAAAAATAGTTCAAAAAATAACAAAAATTAAAAACAAAATTAATCTATATAATTAATATTTAAAAAATTATAAAAAATCAATAAGTGTAGAAAAATTATAATTTCTCATCTGATGAGAATATAACATATACTGAATTTTTTTATTGTTCAAGACAATAAATTTTTTGAAAATTTACATAATTTTAAAAAACATTTTAAAATACATTTATACAAAAATTTCGAAATTAACCATCATTTTTTAAAAATGTAATAAATGAAACGTCTTTTTTAAAGTTTTGAGAATGTGTTTTACTTTTTATTGATATTGTACTTTTTACAGCACTGTTTTCACATTTTTTTTATACTTAATTAATATTTTTTTTTTTAAATAATTATTCTTAATATAAATGTGTTCGCACTTATTTTTCGGATTTTTCTTCTTCTTGTATTTTTTTTTTTTTGACAAGTTTTTATGCAATGGAATTTGGCGCACTTTTTATCAGGGCTCGTCTTTTGCTTAAGCAATAATTATAATTATAAAAAATGATAATAATAATATGAAACACGAAAAATTGTGCAAAATTCTTTTTTTCGCATGCTCGATTTGTTTAATTTTATTTTTTTTAGTGTCGACTAATCCAATGACTAGACACGATAAGCTTGCAAAATTTACTAAGGACTTAAAAAGTGGTGAGTCACTAGGAATTTAACTAAAATTATTTATAAGAAAGTCATTGACTAAAATTTAAATTTTAAATACTTAATTTAAATTTTAAAAATTAAATAATTAATTTAAATTAATACTTTCGTATTAATAATTAAATTAATAATTATAATAATAGTTATAATGATAATGCAATTTTGATTGATAAATGTTTCACGAAAGAAAAATATTATTCACATTTTTTTTTGTTAAAAAAAATTTATTTCTTTGACAAATATACTTCTCATTATGTTTTTTGTATCATATAATGTGAATGTTATAAAATAATAATTAATATCCAGTATATTTCGTTAAATAAAATTATTCAGTTTTTGTTACTTTTATTCGAATTAATTATTAATATTTTTAACTACTGTAACATATTTTCGGGGTAAGCACAAAAGCAGAGAACTTTAAATAACAACTAGCGGCATATTTTGAAACTAATGCAATTTAGGCGCGAATTTTAAAAAGTTTAAAATATTCAAACGTTCAAAATTCAAAAATATGAAGCAAAATTAATTATTAATAATAATAATAATTAACAAATATAACAATAATAACGACAATATTAATAATAATTAGTGGAAGAATAAAAATATAAAAAATAAAAATAAAAAGAATAAAATAATAATAATAATAATAATAATAATAATAATAATAATAATAATAAGAATAAGAATAATAATAATAATAATAATAATAATAATAATAATAAAAATAAGAATAATAAGAAAAATAAAAATACTAATAATAAAATTAATAATTTACATTAATAGTATTAATATAATAATAAAAAAGTCATAACTAGAGTTAAAAGTTGAATAATCTTGGGTTAAAAAAGTGCAATATGTGACTAACATTATATGACTCAAGTGAGAAAGATTAATACTTTATCTTGCAGAATAATTTAACCCTTGTTAATCTGATTAAATAACGGGTAATTGAGAATAGTGTGAATACAAAGTTAACACCAACCGTGAAAATACTTCAAAGCAGTCAGTCCTTAATTATAATATTGCAAAATTGAATAAATTACGTTTTTTTAAAATTAATTCTATCATGACATTTTTTACAAAAAGTTCTAAATTATACGTTTCTACTTTAATTTTTGTATGTACCCAAATTTAGAACTAGTCTTCAAAAAGTATAAATATTTTTTTTTCTATCTTCCAATTTTTTAAATTTTTTGTTTAAAAAATGTGAGGTATAATAACTCTCTAAATTTTTTAATTCATAAAAATGTTTACTTATTTGAACAAGTTACTGATTTTTTGCATTTGAATTAGTAAATTTTACTAATAAATATAGTAATTTCTACTAAGTTATTAAAAAAATTGAGTATTTTTTAAATTAAAAAGTGAAGAACCAGAAAAATTAATTAAACAATGACTGACAAACCTGAACGAGCCCCATACAAAAAGGTAAGTAATTAATTTTTTCTTTAAAATATTTTTTTCGATATTCTTTTACATTTGTGTGATTTTTTAAATATTAACACTACATTTTATATACATTAAGAATAATATGTAGATAATTAATATTAATAATATCAATATTTATAGTTGTTTTATATAAAAATTACTCTCTAAAATTGAATTAGTAAAATTTTTATAGAAACTGTACCTCTTTTTTATTGTTGTACTATTTCTATTATGGAAAGCTGAGATTTTTTTTCACAAAATGATGATAAAGTTAAAAATTTGAAGAACAATGGATTTTCAATAAAATAAACAAAAATTGTTTTAAAAGTTTTTTTTTCTTTTCTTGAAAATCCATTGTTGTTTTATTTTTAAAAATTACATAATAATTTATTGGAAAAAATCTCAGCATTGCAAGGAAAATGATAAACAAATTTAAAAAGGGGTAGTTTTTGTAAAAATTTAAAAAAAATTTAATTTGTCAAGATTTGTCGAAATTAACAATTTCACTGAATTAATAACTGCAATTCCCATAATTCACAGAATTAGTTTTTAAAAAAGTTAATATTTTAGATTTTTATTCCTTTTACACGCAGACAAACATTTTAAGAATAAAATTTCTGGATATTTTTTAATATATTTAGTATTTTTTTTTTTAATTTTCAAATTTTTACTTGATCATTTCACGTGGAATTGCTATAAATATATAAAACTATTATATATTTATGGGTAATTCCACGTGAATTTTTCCTATGACATTTCAAAATCGGTTAAACATATTTTTTTCTCGTTCTTTATAGAAAAATATTAAATACGTTTTTTTTATTGTTCTACACAAGTGCCCAAATTTGCGAGTTATGAATTTTTGAAATTTTTAGATTTTTAAAAGTAGACCTATTTTCAATAGCTTATAATTTTTTGAAGTATTCAGTTTAGAAAAAAGTTGTCAAAGAAAGAAAGTTTTGGTTTTTCTCCAACTTTTAAGTATTTTTTTTTTAATTAAAAATTTAAAAAAAAATTTTTGATATTTTAAATAAATAAATAAATAAATTTTCCAAAATTCATAACTTGAAAATTTGGGCAATTATAGAAAAATAAAAAAATACGTATTTGATATTTTTCTATAAAGAACGAAAAAAAAATATGTATGTTTAACCGATTTTAAAATGTCATAGGAAAAATTCACCTGAATTTATAATTATATCGAAATATTAAACTTTTGCACGTCTATTCGTAGCATTTATAATTTCTTTTAACAATGGGAAAAAAATGACACGATAGCAACTTGTGGGTAGTCAGAAACTGGATCAAGGTGAGGGAGAATGAATAACATCGTGTCTTCGTTTCCTCGTCATTGTCACGTTAATATAATAATACAACACTACTCTTTGAAATGAACGCCGCGTACTTTAACAAAAAAAAAATAATAATAATAATAATAAAGTAAAATAACCTGTTCAAAATTATCACATCCTCGAATTGAATATAGAGTGCATGTAATACTACTTTAGCAATATCGGCGAATTATGATTAATGACTATTGAAAATTACTATCAGCTCTATTTTACAACGTATATATAGATATAATTGACTTTTTTAATACTGGTGAAATTAAATTTATTCAACTCTTTTTTTTGTAATGTTCTTTAATTATCGAGAGAACTTGATATAATATCGATATATTATACTCGCAGTGTATAATATTAATTTATCTTTCGTTTCATTTGTTTATTTAGACGGTTATAAATATTTATTCGATCTTTAAATCATTCAATGAATTTATATATAAATGCGATAGTAGAGAGCCAATAATCTTGACATTTTGATATTGTAATTAAAATTTCTCCAAACAGAGTTAGATAAAATTTTCGCTACTTTTTTCTATTTTATTTTTTTACCACTTTTTATTTTACTATTTTTTGTTTCGATGCTTCTTTTTATTTCATTTAATCTTCTTACTATTTCTTATTTTATAGTTTTTTTATTTTAGTTATTTTGTTATTTTTACTGTTTTTTTTATTTATAATTTTATAAAGCTAAATTTGGAGACAATTGCACATAAAATTCTAAAAATAGTCGTGAATTAAAGTAAGGAAAGGAATTTTTTTTTCAATTAAATCTGATTATAATTTTCGTCGAATCGTTTTGCAAAGTTCGGTGGTACGTCGTGAATATTAATACAAAGCTGACAATAAGACTAACCGCGTTACGACATCCGGCGGACCAGCAATTACTATTGGCGACAAGCTAATCGCTCTGTAAACTCACTAACTGTGCTCTTGTCAATTTTTTTTTTTTTTTTTTTTTTTTTTTAATATCACTAAAGGCGGAATTTTGCTCTTGTCATATATTTATTTTTATTTTCTCAATATCACCAAAAAGCGGGAATTTTGATTCATTCCTTTTATTATCACGTAGGTATACGTGACTCAAAATAAATACAATAAAAAAGCTAAAGAAATTTATAATATTAAGTAAAGAAAAAATTCCTAAATGTCCAATTTAGAAAAAATTTAATTATTTATCAATTAAATATTAATTTTATTAAATTATTTAACTTAGAATGTTTTCAGGACCTTAATTAATTGTTGTCCAAAAAATTGTTTTTAATTTAAAAAAGAGTTGTTTAATATTACTATTTTTTTTTTTTTTTTTTTTTGCTATTACAATTGTTATGATTTTATTTTAAATATAATTGTCGGAAAATTATAAAATCGTATGAGAAACAAAGTTATTGCATCAATATTGCAAAAGTTTGTTTAATTTACTTTCTCAATTTCATGAGTACCCTCAACCATAACAATGTTGTAAACTCTCGTTCCGTTGAGGAAAACTTTTCTTTTTCAATGAAAAAATACACGAAATAAATAAGTTTGAATCAAGTTAATAAAATCAGCATAAAACTTCAAGTTATATTCCTTTTCCTCGTATTCAACATTCTTACTTTACACAAATTGAAAACAAAAAAATTACATACAATTTGTTCCTTCTCAAGAATATATTATACTTTATATGAATAAAAATTTAATTATTATAATTAATTTTTAAGTCAGTTAATAATATGTAATTATTGATAATAAAATAAATTAATAAATTTAAGTAATCAATTTAAAATTAATAAAAAAAAATTTTTAGCACCTAGCGGCAAATTCGAAACTAATAAAAATTGCGCGCGAATTTCAAACTGATTAAATAATTTAAATATAGCACAATTATATGTAATTATATTATTTTCTAAAAATATAAAAACAAATTATAAGAGAGAATAATAATCATCGCTTTATTGCAATAATAAAATCTGTACTCACAAAAAAAAGAACGTTTATCAAATAAAAAAAAATTTAGAAAAAAAACAAGACGTTAACAATTGGGTCGTAAATTTTTTTTATATTATATATAAATTTTCATAAAATTATCACACACAGCAATGTTTTATTCATTTCCTTTTAGAAAGTTTATTAAATTATGCACAATTTGCAATTTTATCCTTTTTTTTTTGCTTCCTATACCTTCGTTACCGCGAGAATATAATAAATCAGTCAAATGGAATAAATAACGAGATTATT